AGAGAGATCTCTCTTCTGGATCGGAAAGATCGAAAATACATCATAGACGCATTTTTTTGTCTTTTTGCATATTAGAAAACGAGTCGGCGACACTAAGACTGCGATATAATGCTTATGTAGCAATAATACATGACATGTATTTTTTAAATGTCTCCAGTACCGATAAAAAGACCAATAACGTTGGAGCTTAACGGCGCGTAAAACACACGTGATGACGTCACTAACGAATCGACGACTAAATTAGTTGGCAACTAATTTGATAATTGATTTTAATTAATGGATTAACTTCAGCATCGTTTTTATCGTTTTAATGCCATTGAAGACCAGTTTAGACCAGACAAAGACGAAGGTAAGCCATGTTAGCGTTGTGGGCTACCTAGCGCCACTTGTTTTGATGTTCATTTTTGTTGATAACGTCGCGAGTTTGTATCTTTCAGTGTTGAGGTGGGCACCGTTAGATTCTGTGTGTCCTTGCGATCATAAACGATGTGTTGGATGTGCAGCTAGGATAAGTAATAAGGGAAAAGATTACCCGTGGACAGTGTTGTGCTAGTTACTGAAAACCTAGTTACCATTACTAGTTACTTCATTTCAAAAGTAACTCAGTTACTTTACTGATTGCTTACACCAAAAAGTAATGCGTTACTGTGAAAAGTAACGTTTTAGTTACTTACAAAAAGGGCTCCCATTAATGCCCTTATAGCCTTCATTTCAGTACTGTTATTGCATTGGAGAATAATACAATCTGTTGATCAACTTGCATTATATGCAATCTGGATTGCATCGATATTAGCTGGCTTTCCATTTTTGTATATTCTTTCTCCAGGTAGTTGGAAAAAGTGTTCCGTCCCATATGCCGCGTGCCGCCCGGACATGCTATCATGCTAACTAGCTCCCTGAAAGCGGGTGACTCCACTGTAGCAATAGCCTGCATGTGTTCTACAACATACCGTGCAATGGCTTTATCCACTTTTCCCTGGCTAGCAGTCCCTTGGTTAAAATCCAGCCGCTGCTGCTTAGGTGGAGGTGGAGTGGCGTCGGCTGAGTCTCTGTGGTCTTAGCTACTAGCTTCGTCCCAGCATGTTGTTTTTGCAGATGTTTTAAGAGATTTGAATGACTGGTTTGGGCAGTAGATAGGATCTTTGACCCGCTAAGACACAACTTACATTTAACTAAAACGTTATTTTCTTTGTGCTCGACAAAAGTGAAATAGTGAGAATATCTCCAGGTGGAGAAACTAGACTTGAGCTCCGCCGCCGCCATGATAGTCTTGTTAGTAAACAACACAAACACGCCCACAGCGCGTCTCCGCATGTGACACAGGAAGTATCTAAGTACATTTACTCAAGTACTTAAGTACAGTTCTCATCTCTGTTCGCCTGGCTGTTGATTATATAAAAAAACTAACGGAGTAACGCACCATGTAGTAACGGTAACTGAGTTACTGAATTTAAAAAGTAATGCGTTAGAGTACTAGTTACTGCCAAAAATAACGGCGTTACAGTAACGCGTTAGTCCCAACACTGCCTGAGACCAGAGATGGGGACTCGAGTTTGTGACTCGGACTCGAGTCGCACTTAAGTCGCAAACACAGAGACTTCAGACTTGACTTGGACTCGTGTTTTGGGACTCGTGAACAATCATTGTGTTTTCTATTTTTGGCGTATTAACATTGAGGAAACTCTGAAACGTCTGACAGGCGTCCTTCCTTTTTTTCATGGTAACCATGGTAATCTCATTACGCAAGTGTGCGCCTCTCGCACTACCTCATGGTAACACCATGGCGACCGGCGGCACACCTGCAGCTGTACCGCTTGTAATTAGGTTCAACTATAAACACTTCGAACAAAACGCCGGCGGCACCAACAAAAGGAGCGCACACTGCAAAGTCTGCAATATTAAAATCAAGGATGCTGGTGCAACAACGTCAAATTTCATCAGGCACTTGAAAACTCACCCGGAGAGGTCAGTCACATTAACGCATATGGACGGTTAGCAAACATGTTTAGCTCAGCATCAGCTATGTAATGTTAACTTAGCTTGCTACTAGCTTTGTAACTGAATATTTGAAAAGATGAGTGAATGTTTGCTTGTCACACTTGTTTGCGTTGAGTGGCGTTGACATCCAACTCTTGACATGACATAAAAAAGGTCGGTAACGTTAATCATTACGTTCCGCTGCCACCATCTACTGGCTAACGTTAAACGTAGAAAAATACATAGTTACATACATAAATACATCTGTCGGTTTATAGGCAGGTTACAGGTTTATTGTTGACCACGTAACGTTAATGTTACAGGTTTATCAGGTTACCATTACACTGGGTTTGAGTGAGAGGATAGAGGAATATGTTTATTTATAGTAGACTTAAAAGATGTCATTAGAGACCCAGTGTAATTCAACAATACGGTTACAGAGGTCACATTTTAAAAATGTTGTCCACTGGCCAAATGGCTAGCCTAGTGAATGTTGAAATGTTTCCAGCCACTCAATAGATTGCCATTGTTATTTGTGGCTGGTACTGTATGTTGCACGCACCATACTGTATGGTGCGTGCAACATACAGTACCAGCCACTTGCATGATTTGGTAAATGGTGTTAATTTTGTGTCCTGCAGATGAAGCCTACTATAACTGTGATTGGATGATTAGTAATTATTGCATGACTAATGTTAGCAATATGTTCCTGTTACTCTGACTTTGTCTGTATTTTTTTATAGCAACCCTCTCTATATTCAGAAATAAAAGATTGGTTAGATTAGCTACACATACAAATGTTAGCAATATCATCCAGATCTTATTACTATAATTAAGCGCCTAATTCATTTTCCATGTCGTTCATGTACAGGTTTTCTGAATTCAACAAAATCAAAAACCAGCCCAGTGAAGAGGGACAGAGCAGCCTTGATGCGTTCTTGACTCAGGCAAAAGGTGTGCAGATATACAGCCAGAGCCATCCCAGACAGAAGGCCATTACTGAATCCATAATACAGGATCTCATCATTTCATGCAATCTGCCTCTGTCTTTGATTGACAAGCCTAGCTTCAAGAATTTCATGTCAGTGGTAGAGGAGAGATACTGCCCAGTAAGTCGAAGCACCGTAACCAGACGTCTGAGTGAGCTTGCAGCAGACAAAGAGTCCAAGATCAAATCCAAACTAGAAAAGACAGACAATGTGTCTGTGACCGTTGATATCTGGAGTGACCGAAGCATGCGTGGCTTTTTAGGGGTAACAGCCCACTTCATGGAAATAGAGAAAATCAGCCCAAGCCTGCAGACAGTTCTCTTAAGTTGTGAACGATTCACAGGGTCACACACTGGAGAAAGAATAAGTGAGACATTTGAGGAGATATGTGACAACTTCAATATAAAACACAAATTAGATTACATTATCTGTGACAATGCAGCAAATATGAGGAAAGCCTTCACTGTTTGTTTCCCCTCTGCAACAACTGAGAGTGAAGATGCTGAAGACGACCTGGAAAACAGCAACTTATGGGAGGATATAAGTGAGAATATCCAGAACGATGTGGAATCTATCCAGAGCAGCTGCCGTCAACAGCGACTACAGTGATTTGCACATTCATTACAGCTTGTTGTGCAGATGGACTGAAGGAGACAAGGACTCTGAACAGTGCAATGGCAAAAGTGACAAAATTCTGCAGTTTACTTCATTCCACTTGTGGGCTGAAAGAAGCATTTGAGAGACAGTATGGAGCCAATCGAAGCATCCCCTCTGCTGTATCAACACGATGGAATTCAACTCTCCGCCTTGTGGAGGCAGTCACTGACCTGGATCCTCAAAGCCTAAATACTCTTCTGGAAGCCCAAGGACATAAAGGCCCGTGCTTATCAGCAAGAGAATGGAGTCAGCTGAAAGAGCTTGTGGAAATGCTGGCCCCATTTCTTCAAGCAACAGACCTCACACAAGGGGAGGAAGTGGTGACTCTAAGTGCGGCTTTGCCTTGCGTTCTCTCACTCAACAGCCACCTCAACAGTATGCTGAATAAAACTCGGCATCTGGCCGGTTTTGTGAAAGCTCTCCAGAAGTCACTGCAACGCCGTTTCCGGGGGATCTTTGCAAATGTCAGAACGGATGACTCGGCTCAACCTGCAGGAGATCTTCCATTTGGAGATATGGTCTACATGATGTCTGCACTACTAGACCCATCATTCTGCTTCTTTTGGCTAGAGCAAGATGTCCTTGCACCAGATGAAGTCACGAGTGAGGTGAAGGAGATGATAATGGGTAGGTGAATGTACACCATTTCCAAACGCATTATCATCACATTATGCATCATTCATGGCTTGAAGTTTTCAGGCACCAAGTTAATACTTAATTCAATACATTGTAGACATTTCCTTCTCCTCCCAAATGTTCAGGCACTCAAATCTTTTCACGCTTTCAATAACATCAGTAAAATCTCATTTAGACTTACTTATCGTTCATTAACTTAACCATCACCACTGTCAACGTCATAATACTGTAACTAACCATGATTTTTGTGAAACTTTTTCAGACCTTGTCTTGGCTGAGGCTCGGAAAGTCACCATACTTGCTGAGAGCAGTAGTGGAGAGGATAATAAGGGTGAGGAGCCACCTGCTAAAACTCCACGCCTTTTCACTGGCTACAGGAAGAAAAGCAAAAAGAAGGATGACCATGTATCATCTGTCAAGGCTGAGCTCATTCGCTACATCCAAGTGTGCTCTGGTGAAGAAGACCAAGCAGACTGCCTAGGCTTCTGGAACAGAAATGCAAAGGTCTTCCCAAGGCTCTATCTTGTGGCTATGAGAGTGCTCGCTGTTCCTGCCACCAGTGCACCAGTGGAAAGGGTATTCAGTCACGGAGGCCTTATAATGCGCCCTCACCGAGCCAGGCTTAGTGCAAGGACACTGTCCAGCTTGATCTTTTTGAAATGTAACCATTCTGTTGCATAATACTTTTCTAGGTCTTACAGTAGGCCACTGGAGGATACCTACAAGCTTGTGAATGTTTTGTGACCCATACCCTGTGTGTATTAAGAGAAGAATAAGGTAAACCATTCTGATCTTATTGCAGGTTTATTATTGTAAATATGTTGTTCTTGCCAAAACAACACAAAAAGGTTACTGTTCCGTTAGTAAAAGAGTCAAGATAGCCAATACCTCCAGTGATATTCCATATTTTGTTCCTTGAGTTTTACTTTTATGCAAGGAATCATTTTTGTCATACAAAGAAAGGTGCCAATTTTCACAAATGGTAGATATGTCTTTTGGAACAGGTCATGTTTTAATATCACCAGTTCAGTATATTTCAGATAATATTGCAGCAATAGTTTTTTAGTTGCAAATGGCACAGAACAAATGTTTACTTTGAAGTACTTTTAACACAGCTTCCCTGCGGGGGATTAATAAAGTATTTGTGATACTGATTTGTGATTCTGAAGTGTTTTGCTTATAAGTTGTTTGCATTTAGCTAAAGTGTGATGTTTGTCCTCACATTGCAATAGCCTGTTTAAAGTGATCATATAACAACTAATCAGTACTGATACTGTATGCTAATAGATATAGGAGTGATAATAATACAGTACATGCTTTGGATGTCTTAGATATAGCTGTGCAGTATTCTTAACAGACTGGATAGCAGCAGACAATAGAAGGCTTATTACAACCAGAAGAGACTTGAGACTTGACTTGGACTCGTGACCAAAGACTTGTGAACACCTCTGCCTGAGACACAGTGTCGTGAGAAAAAAAAACAAGGGTACCCGCCGGCGGGGACCTTGGGGCTTAACAGGTTAATAGCCTTAATTTTCGCTAAATTGATTTATCAACTTTTAATACTTTTTAAGACCCCGCGGACACCCTAAATAATACATATGACATATTTTTCAAATGTCTCCAGTACCAATAAAAAGACCGATAACGTCGGAGCTTAACGGTACCACGGTCTTTAATAATTCAGCCCCGGGGCTCGGTACCCATCCCTACCACTGATACAATGATGATGTAATTGCCTATAGACATATCCTTAAATAATGTTAGCTCTACTGCACTCTACTGCACACACTCAAAAAAACGATTCAAGCCCTTCTTAGACTTGACACATTAATAATTGTTTCACTTTACTTAAATATTTTTATTTAAGAAATAAACCTAAGTATAGTTCATTAGTGTAACACAAATTACATTAATCAATTCACTTATTAAATGTATTTAAGACAGAGCAACTCAAAATGAATTGTTTTCATTTGGGACCGCCCCTTTGCACATCACCTTTGCGCATGCACAAAATCCGTTCTGTCATTTGCCGCCTTTTGTCTAACACTGACTGTGGAAACTGACTGGGGAAACTGACGGTGGAAAGTCTATTATTTGGTAAGTATTTGTTTTTTCTAGTAGTTTAGAATGTTCCCTGTTTCCAAGTAGGCCTAATGCCTTTTCATTATATCGACAAGAATATTTGAAACCACCGTGTTATATTTTGCTCCGTTTTTAGTTGGGTCTAAACAGCAAGCTAGCTAGCTTGCTAGATATGGTTAGCATTGAATACTGGATAGTAGAGATCATTAGATTATATTAAATTAGATGTCACGTTATTGTCATTGAACACAGTACACCGAAATTCAGTTTAAATTCAACCAAAAAATGCAAAGAGTAATTAAAGTGCACGAGGTAAAGCAGCAAGCTAGCTAGCTGGATAACTGGTTTGTTAGCTAGCTTGCTAGATACGGTTAGCATTGAATACTGGATAATGGAGATCATTAGATTATATTACATTCGATTTAACGTTATTGTCATTGAACACAGTACACCGAAATTCAGTTTAAATTCAACCAAAAAATGCAAAGAGTAATTCAAGTGAATGAGGTAACAGTATAGGAGGCAGAGCCTGCATGCAGCCCAGTAAGCGCCGCCATTTTCTATCATAAAGCTCAGCAGGTCTGTCCATCTCTCTCCTGGCCTTAGTGCAGGCAGAGGAGGACAGGCGGAGCCACTCGTTTCTGTAGGAGTTCAGTTGAGTTTAGTTTTTTACTGCCAAATATTTAATATAAATAATGAGATAATATATATATGTGAATCTTGTATGGGTTACCTCACTCACAAGCAGGCACCCAGAGTTGTGCAGAAACGTAGGCCTGCTTTATAAAACATGTCTACTAGACTCTTAATTTTAAAGTGTGATCTGTTATCATTTTTTTTTTGGGTTGTGCAATCTTAGGCAATTATGTGTTGTCTGTGAAAATTCAAATATATAAGCATTTTAATCACCTCTAATATATTTATGTTGTCTTTTGCAGTTTGATCAGCATTAACAAGCATCTTGGGGCAACCTCTTATTTATGGTAAGTACACGGCTACTTTCACATTACTTGCATAAGCTGATCTGTGACATTGTCAGTTGTTCAGTGTCAATTGCTAATTCTCTTTTTTCTCTTTTTCAGGTTATGCATGTGGCAGTGCAAACACTGCAGTTTGGAACTAGCTAGCAGGTATTTGTTGTTAAAACATTTCCGGCAGACACATGCACATTTAAGGGGCAGTTGTCGCTATCCATGTCCATATACTGATTGCCCATGTTCGTTTGACACATGGAGTAAACTTTTAAATCACACATACAAAACTCATGCTAAACAGCTAACACCAAAGCCAGTAGAATTACCTACATTTAAGTGTCATGTGTGCTCACGTAGAGACTTAACAGAAAAAGATTTCTTCCAACATATTAATGGACATCTCAGGCATAATGAAACTGTACCATGTATGTTTCTAGGATGCACATTTAAAACTAACATTTACAGTACATTCAACACACACAAAAATAGGAAACACAGACAACATTCACTTAAAGACTTTATAGCCAATGTTGTCAGTACAAGTGGTGAGTTGGATCAGTCACACAGTTCTGCAGTTGGTCCAACGGAGTCTGTCGATATAGACCAGGAATATGAAACACTAAGTTGTGGTGATGCTTCAGAAATACACCTTCCAAATTTAATCGAAGAAAAAAATTGCATGCATTTTATTGAAGTTGGAAAATATTGTTCACATTCCAAAGACAGTTATTGATGAAGTCCTTTCTGAACTTCACTACATATTAAGTACATCATCTTTGCCTGTCACTAGAGCTATTGTTTCTGATGTATTACAGAGCCATAAACTACAGGTTGAAGATTCAGTAGTTGGTGAGCTTTCCACTGCTCTATGCAATTCTAGTCCATTGGCCACAGCTATTGCAAAGGATGGCCCTCTTGCTACAGCATATAAACGTACACAGTACTATACATCTCATTTTGGTGTTTTAGAGCCGGTTGAGTACATACTAGATGCCCAGAGGAATAGGACATTTCAATATATCCCTCTGTTAAAGTCTTTGCAACATTTGCTCTCTCATAAAGGTGTCCTTGAACATATTGAAACGCAACAGCGGCTATTGGCTGTTCCCCAAGAGTACAGAACTGTAAGAGACGGTGAGTACTATAAACAGAATTCGTTTTTTTCTGATGAAGGTTTGAGAATCTCTGTAAATCTTTATGTTGATGATTTTGAGATTTGTAACCCTCTTGGGACATCTCGAAAGACACACAAACTTTGTGGTGTATATTGGGTTTTGGGTAATTTGCCACCAGGTTCCCATTCAACACTAAACTCAATCTATTTAGCTGTTCTATGCAAATCTGATGATGTTAAGACCTATGGCTATGGAAAAGTGTTGGAGCCTCTCTTGCAAGACTTAAGCATATTAGAACAGCACGGTGTATTTATATCTCAGCTTGGTCAGTTTGTTAAAGGTTCTGTCCAGTGTGTTATAGCTGACAATCTTGGAGCCCATGGGCTCGGGGGATTTGTTGAGAGTTTTTCAGCTGGGTCAGTATGCAGGTTTTGTATTGGAGTCAAATCAGATTTTCAGACTAAGGATGTCCAGTCAGGTGCTTTCCAACTGAGAACAAGAGACATCCATGATGTTCATGTCCAGTCTGCTCAGGAGAATGCAACTATTTGCTGTGGTGTAAAAAAGCAGTGTGTTTTAACAGAGCACCTTTCCCATTTTCATGTAACTACTGGTTATCCTCCTGACATTGTGCACGACCTTTTTGAAGGTGTTGTACCAGTTGAACTGGCTCGTTGTATGAGTTTGTTGATCTCCAAAAAATACTTCACTTTTGAAAGGCTCAACACATTGATTCAGACATTTCCGTACAAATGGGGGGACAGAACCAATCGCCCCCATGCCATACCACGCTCTTTCACATCTAGAAACACAATAGGTGGCAATGCGCATGAAAACTGGACCTTAATAAGACTGCTTCCCTTTGTGATTGGGCACATTTTACCAGAAGATGAACCAGCGTGGCAGCTAATTCTAGATCTTAAGGACATAGTTGAGTTGGTTGTGGCCCCTGTTCACACAGATGAGACCATTGCTTATCTTGAAGCCAAGATCTATGATCATAGGCAGCGCTATCTTGAACTCTTTCCACATGTAAAGCTCTTACCAAAACATCACTTTTTAGAGCACTATCCGCAAATGATTCGTTGCTTCGGGCCTCTAATTGTACTGTGGACAATGAGATTTGAGGCTAAACATAGCTTCTTCAAGCAGGTTGCTCGTCACACCAATTGCTTTAAGAACATACCTCGTTCACTAGCTACTAAACACCAGTTCATGCTTGCCTATCACACACATTCCTCCAGTGTCAAGAAGTCATCCTTGGAGGTCACACATGTCTCAATCCTGCCTGTTGATGTCCTTAATGAGGGAGTCGTGTCTACACTGAAACAAAGTTTCCCAGATGTGACTGAGGTTCATATGGCAAACAATGTGTCTAGCTTGGGTATACGTTACTGCGAGGGGATGATTATTGTACACGGATCTGCAGATGGACTGTCTAAATTCCATGAGATCATTAAACTTTGCATTGTTAAGGAGAAGTTGTGTTTTCTGGTAAAAGACGCATGTGCTTGGTACAGAGAGCATTATGGTGCTTTTGAGCTGTCTGCCTCGCCCAATACAGAGGTTGCCGTTATTGAGCTTGCTGACTTGGTAGACCCCTATCCCCTTGTTGACTACATGGTTGGGAGTTTGCGCATGGTAATGTTGAAAAGATTCATCATTGTTAAAGGTGAGTATCATTTTTAAACCTAAATAGTCTGAGCTCTGGATAGCAGGCTCTGACAAAAACTGTAAAACCATTTTTATGTTCATCTTTGATATAATCCTAATGTGTTTCTTTCACCTTGTTTCTGCTCTAGATTAAAAGGTGTTCCATAATGGCAGGTCGGGCGCTTCTGCGCATCATCTTTGCCGACCAGTCTGACTCTAGAAAACTGACCCTGGATTCGGGAATCCCAGCAACAGTTGAAGAACTGCACACATTTGTCAAGACATCTCTTCAATTGAAAGAGGACTTCCGTCTGCAATACATGGATGTTGACTTTAACGAGTTCATGAATCTTACATCAGTGTCTGAAATTCAGGATAAAAGCACACTGAAAGTAATTTACTCTCCTATATTGTCAAATATTGAGCCCTCCATCACTTTGTACACAGTTGACTCATTTGATAAGACCTCAATTACTGGAAGCTCAGAGCCTCTAATCCCTGAATCATCAATAGCCTCATGCTGCAGTGATGATATGGTGTATACGTCAACCCCGCATCCATCCCCTGAAGCTCAGGCCTCACAATTGTTATCCTGGCCCACAGTTTTTGTGGTTCCTAAGCTCACCTACGAGGCTGAATTTGAGCTTCATCTAAAGAATGCAGAGTTTGAGACAACTGGTACATACTTCCAGCCTGGCCTAAAGCTGAAAGGAGTCATTCTTGATGGCCTAGCCCAAGAAATGATCAAATTCACAAAATATCCGAAAGACTATCAGTGTGAAGAGGTAGCTGCAGCGTTGACGAGGGCCCACCCTTGTTTGGGGCAGCTAGGATCCAAGACAGGATTTGGGGGGTGGAAACAGTCTCTTAAGTACAAAATGCAAAACTATCGTACAAAGCTTGGCCGTCTTGGACATCCTGAAATCCTTGTGAACTCCTTAAAGCACAAGAAAACAGGCCAAGGCAAAGCTGCAGCAAACATAAAAAAAACAAGAAAAGCTGAAGTAAACTACATTCCTCTGCACCCAAAAGGCGAAACCACAGAAAGCTTGGAGAACGAGAGAATTGCCTTATTGTCAGAACTGAAAAAGCGTGACAATGAAGTGGTGATAAAAGCAAAAATGGAAAAAACCTTCTCCCACAGACGCCTTGAGATTGTGGAGCAAAGGCCTTTGATAGGGGACTTCAAATGCAGATGGCCTGCTCTGTTTCAGCAGAGTGAAGTAAGTACATATTTGTATTTGTTGACAGTCTTTTATTATTGTCTTTTGTGATTCATGTCTACATCCTTGCATGGTTGTGATTCTAATAAACAAGTAACAATTGGTTGTATTGTGCTTGTTAATAATATTTTTAAGGTGAATGCGGAGTTTTTGAGGATCACAACATCACCACTTCAATCAAAGTTCATGTGGCAGCTGGACCACTTCTCAGACAAGCTCTTGAAGATCTTCAAGACCAAAGGAGGAGTGAAGGGGCACAAAATCAAGGAAGCCCTTGCAATATCAGATTCGGTTAGTATAAATGCAGAGAACCTCGTTTTTCACTGTATTGTTTTTGTCCATGATCATATGAACACATTTAAGAAATTGTCTGCTTTTATAGTGTTTTTAAGGCAATAGCTTATTGTGGAAATGTAGGTGTAAGGAGTCCTGCTTAGGGACACACACGACAGATACAGCCCTCTACGTTGTAAACTACCTGCTCTGTTGCACATGCATTGTGCTTAATTGTCTTTTATTTATCGCCCCTGCTTTAGTTTGAAAACATCCACATCAAGAGGGGGTGCATCCTGCGAAGCATCGCGATCTACCTCAACGAGGATCCAGACTCTTTTTTTAAGGAGTATCAGGTATGTTTATCACAATATGTTTTCAATGTATTGGTTAACAGTGTTACCCACAATTATAACCACCATTACTTACATTTATAATAAGAAAATTATATGGCACACAACCCTATCCCTGCTTACATCTAAATATCTTATCACATATCATAAATACATGCAGAAATAAATAAATCTATACATTAATATAGGAATGAATATATGTAAGAATGAATAAATACAGAAATAAAAAAATAATAATAAATAGATACAGAAGTAATTTCATCGGGCAAGTGTTAAAATAAATATAGAAAAAAGTGAATTAATACATTTATACAGATATAAATACATCTATAAATTAACATAGGAATACAATTGATAAATACAAATGTGAATTAAAACATGAATATATCTGGAAATAAATACAAATAATAAATGAATGCTGAAATAAATATTTACATTTATATATAAATACATCTATAAATGAATAAATAAATATGGACATGAATACATATGTAAGAACTTATAAATAATTGAATAAATACATAAATAAAATAATAAATAAATGCTGAAATATATTAATCAATAGATTCATGTTTAAAAAGGTATGTGAATGCAGCAATTACTAAATTGTTAAAGGAATAATTACATAATCACATAACAAGGAAATAAATTATTAAAGAATAAATAATCAAATACATATCGAAATAAGTAGGTAAATGCATAATTAACTACAGGAATAACAACAAATTACATTATTAAGTAGGGACGTAAACAAATAATACCTGAATTAATAAATAACATAAAGTTGATAATCAAACAGAACATACAGGAATATATCTTTATAACTTATTTATGTAAACATTTTCTTACAAGCTTAATTTAGTTCTGTGTTGGAGGTCCTAACCTTCTCTGGTATCACTCGGACATTTTTGTCCAAATTGGTAATTTTTCACATCAGATTTGGCTATAATGATTTTGTGTTTTTTCTAGATACTTTTTGGAATTTCAATTTTTCTAATCGGTCTCGAATACACTGTACAAATTACCCTAATTGTCCATTTAAAAAATGTTCCCACACTTCCCAAAAAGTGTGGGGGAAAAATATTTAAATATAATATTTGTATCATATCATTTTATCATTCAAGTTTTTGAAAGTGGACATTTTTATCCTGAGTGGCCAAATAGGGTAGTACATTTGAGTGATACCAGAGGGTTAGTCTAAAACTGTTTTGATCAATTAGGAGAGCCACATAAGTAAATCTGCTTCTATAAAATGTAGTAATTCAGGTTTTAGTTAACACATATGTTGTATGTTTGTGTCTTTGTTCAGGCCTCTGCCTCTGAAGATGCCAAGAGGGACATGGCAAACACAGTCATGGGCATATACACACTTCAAAGAGATGTGGATGGGCAGCCAGAGGACGTGGGAATTGTCATCGAAGGCAATATAGTCATGGACAACTTGGGCAGCGTGATTGTGGGGTTTGTCATGCTATTGGGACTTATTTATGCCCTGGATTTGAGCTTTCCGGACAACCTCAAACACACCTTCGAGTTCATGCAGAAGGTAGTGATGAATCTGGATGGGCACAAGCTGAATGGTAAAATCGAAAGTCTGAAGATCAAGTTGTTCGATTGAAATGTGAAAAAGAAGTGACTCATGAGTTCATTGTTGTCATTTTATTCACGAGTTTCCTAGTCAGAGCAGATTGAGCCGTTATATCAATCATTTGTTCTGTGCTTTTCTGTATTTGTTTCAACACACTGTAACACTATTTCCATATGTTGGTGTTTGCAGTGCACTCTTTATGTTATGTGTTATTGTCCTGTTAGAAGAGCAGTGCATACCCCTGTTATATTGTATTCATTGTATTTGGCAAAGGGAGATTTGTAAGTTAATTATAGGAGTTCCATTTCTCTGCCATTTTAAAAATGGTATTATCTTTCAGAAATGTTTTTCATCTTTCAGTGTGAATTCATTCATTTTAAAAAGACTGTATTGAATGGAGGATTGTTTTGAATAATGTGAATTTAAAAATAAAAAAAACTAAACCATGTTTTCTATCATGTGTAACACATTTTTATTAAATTATATTTAACCTCATTATTTCATTTTCAATTAATTAAATAGGATTTAGGTGGACTAGCATTATTTAAATTCATAAAGGTAATGTTATCATTTTACTTAAACTCTATTTGAAAAATTTGAGTTGGACTAACTCATTTACATTATACTGCATGGATGCCATTAGTTTGAGTTTGTGCCACATATATTTATTGGATGGAAAACCTGCCAACAATAAAATTGAGTTAATCCAATGAGTTATTTCTTTGAGTGCACATGACATTAAAGAACAGTTGAAATGATACGATAACATAAACACTGAATCCTCTTCAGGTCAGTTTACAGCAGAAACTCTTACTTTGTGTCTGAGGGTCCTGGTTCATCACTGAAGACTGGAGGTCTCCTCATAGACCGGACACAGCTGGAGACAGGAGACCCGTCCTCTTCCTCATCTTCTAAATCACTCATTCTCTCCAGTCTGAGAGATAAACCACACACACACAGGTCCAGCACCTTCATGATCTGCTGCTTGATCACCTTCGTGGCGTCGCCGGCGTTCGGTATTACATATCTGAGAGGAGAGAACAGATGACCACATGAATAAAGAGTCTACACACACACACACACACACACACACACACACACACACACACACACACACACACACACACACACACACACACACACACACACACACACACACACACACACACACACACACACACACACACACACACACACACACACACACACACACACACACACACACACACACACACACACCACACACACACACACACACACACACACACACACGACATCCAGTTTGACAGAGTAAATAATGAATGTGTTAGAAAGCAGATGCTGGTGTTAACACTCACCCTGTTGCTCTCCTGCTCCGTCCAGCTGTGAAATGGAGTCTGACTTCATACTTTCACTTCCCTTCCTGTCTGTAGCTCCTCTTTTTGTTTCATAACCAGCCTGAACAAGAACTGGGATTATTTTCAGTAAAATAAAAAAAAGTAATAATTCAACAGTGTGAAAATAACCCAGTAAACATGCTGCATCTAAATATTACTTAAGTTAAAGTGTGTAGGCATTTAAGTCTCTCGGTTAACTGTGAATTGATTTGTTCCCCATTTTATCTATTAAATTAAATATATATATAAATCCAACATGCAATGTTCTTGGGAGGCTGTTGTTTATATTTGTGACTTTGTTATACTGCTGCTCCTTAACTTCCAGAAACTTCTCTCTCTCTCTCTCTCTGTACTTCTCTCTCTCTTAAAGGGATAGTCTGCCCTAGCCTGCATTATGCTACCATTAGAGCAGGGGTGCCCAACCAGTCGATCGCGATCGGCGTGACCCCATGTGTCGGGGCGTGGCTGGTGGGCAGTGGGCTGTGCACTAGTTCGCTGACGTTGTCCGTGTCAACAGGAGTGACAGTCCGCACACACACACAAGACCGCAGAAGCAAAAAAGCCCCAAATATATCATTCTCACTCCGAGTGGGAGGATGATTATTTGTGTATCAAGTTTTATTTATATAGCACATTTATAAACGATGTTTGGTGGAGCCAAAGTGCTGAACATATAATAAAATTAGCCTACAGTGGAGACACTTTACAGCAAATACAACAGCACAGATTGTTCAGAATATCAGTATGAGAAATAAAAACGACAAGGTGCATAGATCTGCAAACGGAGCGCTCTGGGGGGTCAAACGGCTCCGTCTGTACGCCCTATACCAGGGGTGCCCAACCGGTCGATCGCGGGGAGATTCCCAGTCGATTGCGAGATGTGTCCAAAAATAGAACAACAATATTCAGTTTTATCGTTAATGTCCGATAACATAATCTTCCTGTGCCAGAATAATGCACTTGAACGCATCAAAGCTTTGTGATTGGCCGGCGTGACCCCATGTGTCGGGGCGTGGCTGGTGGGCAGTGGGCACTAGTTCGCTGATGTTGTCCGTGTCAACAGGAGTGCCAGTCCGCACACACACAAGACCGCAATTATGGCAGAAGCAAAAAAGCCCAAAATATATAATTGTCACTCCGAGTGGGAGGATCATTATTTTTGTATCTATTCCAATTCAAAGTCCATCTGTCTCATCTGCAATGCGAGCGTGGCTTTATCGAAGAAGGGTAATTTAGGAGCGGCATTTCAAAACAGTGCACAAACGCTACGAGACGGAATTCCCTCCTAATTCTGCCCTACGCTCCAAAAGGGGAGGGGCCTGAAAGGACAGCTAAATGCACAGCAGTCCATTTTCACCAGGCCCAACAACAAGAGCAAGGCTGCTACCAGAGCATCTTATCGTGTCAGTCACGTTCTTGAGAAACACATGAAGTCTTTCAAAGACGGCGAAGTTGTGAAAGAAGCATTCCTGGAGGCTGCCGACGCGCTTTGGGGGGCAGTAAAAATAACAGAAGCATTTCAACAGGTTTTTGATATAATAAAAACTCAAGTTAGATACCGTTATTAATCAGCTGTAAGTTTTAGTTTGTTTGAACTTATTCATTATAATTATTGTACAAAATGGTATGAGAATGCAAACTTAAATTGATTATAGTCTATTATCAATTAAGAAACTAGTGTTGCTTGCTTCCTATTTTAAAAGGCATTTCTTTTTATACTCGACTAAAATGCAACAAAAAAAGGGTTTGATTCTATTAATGTAGTCTTTTTTAGTAAGCCTCATTTATACTTTTGTAGCAACACTATTTTATATAATGGCAAAGAAAGGGTTCAGAGTCTTTTCTTTCTCCCTGAGTCATATGAGGCAGCACGGTTCAATGCTTCTTGAATACATGACCCACTGTAGTGACGTGTGGATAAACTCCAACTCTGTATCAACAACACTGTTGTGTAACTTCAGTTAAATACTTGTATGTGTGTAGATTAGAAAGAGGTAAAATAAAGGATCTGCAGTATTTTATGAAGTATTAATCGTACAAAGGTCAGTTTTATACAAGTAGAAGTGTGTATTCACCTGGTAGTAGGCTGTCAGTAACGCCTCTCTAATTGGACTGGTAGATCTCGGCAGACTGGAAACTTTAAAATTAGCTCTCGGTTCAAAAAAGGTTGGGCACCCCTGCATTAGAGTATATACAGTAACACATCGGCAAAGGCACAATGACAAACAGGACAACCACTTAGGAAAGTAGAAAAATAATGTATTTGTAAATCAAAACATAAAGATCAGAGAAAATACAATTACCCACCGAATGTACAAAATAAAATAAGGCGTTTGTTTCTCTCAAAATGAACCATCTTGAAATAAAATGTATCATTCAATGGACAAACATTTTTCTCAAAGTAAATAAAAAATATGTCCACTTTGTTGTAGTTGGTATCTACAGTAATATCTACAGGAGATAAGCCCCGCCTCCTCGCCAGTGCAGGCGTGAACCAAGCGGCAAACTCTGGGGAACAGCCGGGACGCCAATACGGAAGTGCCACACACTGCAGTTCATACATGGGCCGCTAGGGACTGGCTGCAGAAAGGAGCCATTTCCATAGACCCCCATGTTAACATGCCCGACTTTACAGCAGAAAAAAACATGTTTCTACCCATGGATGCAATACATATTATTATCGATATAGTTAGATTCCACCTTCATGATTATGAATCTGTGAGTGAATTGTTTTCTAACACGACCCTTTTATTTATATTAGGTCTTAAAGTTTTTGCATAAATTAGGGCGTGGTCACTTTGATGGACACGTACATGCCTCACTGTCAGCTAACAGCAACTTGTCCACTCTGCTAGGCTACAACCATAGAGGCTACAACGTTAGTTAGTCATAGCACTGTACTTGACCCTTTAGCTTTAGCCGTGTTCGTGGTGATCGTGCCTTTTAGGGAATATTGTTACAAATACCAGACAATTAAAATGTCGTGCTGTGCGCTTGAATGTACTAACAGAACTTCCAAGAAGTCTAAAATGATAATATTATACATGTTAACCCCGTTCGCAGGTGTTTGTGTGCTTGGTAGCTTAGCTTGTTACTTATTAGCCAGCTAAGGACGTAACCCTTTATGCATACATATACATTTTAGTTTATGATTCAGCCTTGGGTAAGACTTTTATAGTCTATGGCTATGACGCCCATAATGCTAAACGGGAGCAAATGTTAATAGGGGACCCGATTATCCCAGTGGTGGCCGCCGGAGCTAACGGAGCCGCAGGGGGCTAGCTCCAGCCGGCGTCCCGGAGCTAGCCCACTGCGGCTCCGTTAGGTCCGGGCGGTGGAGTCCGTCTTTTCTCAACGTGTGAATGACAAGCATTAAGAATAACAAAATATAGCTAATTCTCTTGCAGATTGTCTCATTTGATTATGAATGTAACGTTTATATAGGGGAACTACACTGTTAGCAGTAACTTGGTATGTATTTCATGTTAGCTTAGCTTCTTAGCCTGAGCTAGCTCTGTTTACTTCCAGTTCGGAGGCAGCAGGTCCCGCCTCGGCTCCGCCTCTTTGCCCTTATTTGGAGCAGGCGGGATTAGACTCTGACGTTGCTGTCAAGCCGTTAGTGGCCGACTCCGCCTACTAAGGGCTTCACGGCAACTCTGCAGAATCCTATGGGTGACGTCACGGACACTACGTCCATTTATATATACATTCTATGGCGTGAACACAACTGCAAGCTACTGTGAAACTAAATCTTTACTAATATACAACAATTACATCTGCATCAACGCAACATGAAACACATCTCAGACTGACTAAGATAACAGGTGTGAACAAAATGGTCTATTTCCCTCTTCATGTTGTTGTGTTCTTTTATTCCAGGAAAGACAAACTAAATATATATTACACTTGGCCAAGGACTCTGTCAGGTTACAGAAATCACAGGCAGCAAAGCTGTAATCTGTAACTCTATTTCCGGAAAAAGCCCCGAACCTCGTGTGACAATACATTTTATTGCACAGGGCTCTGCCCGTACATTTATGATTGGTTGAGACTAGATGGGGAGGACCGTGGTTTAGACTTTGGTCGGCCTGTAAGGTCCCTTCCTCCTCTAGTCACGCTATCCTACGTAATTTGTTTTGCTGAAGTTTCTACGTAGAAAGTGGAATCCTTCATTATGCTGGATCCCAGTTTTGCGTGGGCTCGAAGCTCACACACACACACGGCCAAGGCCAGAGCCTCAATAACTCTTTGTCTTCTTACAGCAGGGGTAGCCAACACGGTGACCGCGGGCACTTAGTCGCCCGCGGGGCATGTTCTAAAAATAGCTCGCCAAGCAAATCCAAAATGTATAAAATACACAAAACAAAAAAGGAAATGTAATTGAAAGAATCTACCCTATGCATAAAGGAAACCTAAATCATAGCGAACTCTATCTACTTACTACAACTCTATATCTATCTAACACCCCTCCTCCCCCCACCCCCACAATGAATATCGACCAATCACGTTCTTGCTTGATTTGCGGGACCAGCGTTGCAGTCGGGAAGAAAAGCAATGTGGCACCTCCCCGCTGATTTCCCTTCTGGCAGAATCTACACATCAGCCCCGCTGAACAGTCATGCAGCCTATACAGCACATGAGGGGCAGAGCTTCACTCTGTGTGTTGCAACTTGCATATTGCATGGCGTAATCTCCACTGGGGACAGGGGGGGGGGGGCATGTCCCCCGCTCTTTTCGAAATCCCGTTTGTGTCCCCCCACTTTACAAATATGTTTACTATAATTTTTTAATGCAAGCCGTCATCGCCACGGAGGAGCACACAGCCTCTGTGAGCGAGCGAGACAGAGAGCGAGCTAGGGAGGGAGAGAGAGAGGGAGCTAGGGAGGGAGGGAGGGAGAGAGAGCGAGCTAGCTAGGGAGAGAGAGAGAGCTAGGGAGAGAGGGAGGGAGAGAGCTAGGGAGAGAGGGAGAGAGAGAGGGAGGGAGAGAGCTAGAGAGAGGGAGAGAGAGAGCTAGCTAGGGAGAGGGAGAGAGAGAGAGCGAGAGAGCTAGGGAGAGGGAGAGAGAGAGAGCGAGAGAGCTAGCTAGGGAGTGAGGGAGGGAGAGAAAGAGAGAGGGAGAGAGAGAGAGAGGGAGAGAGAGAGAGCTAGGGAGAGAGGGAGGGAGAGAGCTAGGGAGAGGGAGAGAGCGAGAGAGCTAGCTAGGGAGCGAGGGAGGGAGGGAGAGAAAGAGAGAGGGAGAGAAAGAGAGAGGGAGAGAGCGAGCGAGAGAGCGAGCAAGGGAGACAGCTAGGGAGAGGGAGAGAGAGAGAGAGAGCGAGAGAGCTAGCTAGGGAGTGAGGGAGGGAGAGAAAGAGAGAGGGAGAGAGAGAGAGCGAGCGAAAGCGAGCGAGGGAGAGAGCTAGAGAGAGAGCGAGAGAGCTAGCTAGGGAGTGAGGGAGGGAGAGAAAGAGAGAGGGAGAGAGAGAGAGCGAGCGAGAGCGAGCAAGGGAGAGAGCTAGGGAGAGCACACCTTTATCTATTTAATATAGATAAAGTAAGAAATCATTCCAATGTGTAGGCAGGACAGTAAAAAAAACAAAAAACTGTTTTAAAGGAGTGATTAGTCAAATATGCATAAATAAAAAGAAAGAATGCTAACTAGGTAACATAAGAACAGAATAAACCAGTTGAAATGATTGGTTGTTGGTTTTGATCATATTCTAAAGACGTTTGGATTATTGAAAGGAAACAGCTCTCTTTCATCTGTTGAGAGCTGTTTCCAAACATTCATGTTGCTCTGAAAGTGCAGCAGATTGATGCCCGGACCCCCTAGAGGAGGTGAGGCCCCCCCTAGAGCAGGTGAGGCCCCCCCTAGAGCAGGTGAGGACCCCCCTAGAGCAGGTGAGGACCCCCCTACCCCTAGAGGAGGTGAGGTCCCAAAAGAGGAGGTGAGGTCCCCCCTAGAGGAGGTGAAGTCCCCCCTAGAGCAGGCGAGGCCCCAAAAGAGGAGGTGAGGCTCCCCCTAGAGGAGGTGAGGACCCCCCTAGAGGAGGTGAAGTCCCCCCTAGAGGAGATGAAGTCCCCCCTAGAGCAGGCGAGGCCCCAAAAGAGGAGGTGAGGCTCCCCCTAGAGGAGGTGAGGACCCCCCTAGAGGAGGTGAAGTCCCCCCTAGAGGAGGCGAGGACCCCCCTAGAGGAGGTGAAGTCCCCCCTAGAGGAGGTGAGGACCCCCCTAGAGCAGGTGAGGCCCCAAAAGAGGAGGTGAAGTCCCCCCAGAGGAGGTGAAGTCCCCCCTAGAGGAGGTGAGGTCCCCCCTAGAGCAGGCGAGGCCCCAAAAGAGGAGGTGAAGTCCCCCCAGAGGAGGTGAAGTCCCCCCTAGAGGAGGTGAGGTCCCCCCTAGAGCAGGCGAGGCCCCAAAAGAGGAGGTGAAGTCCCCCCAGAGGAGGTGAAGTCCCCCCTAGAGCAGGCGAGGCCCCAAAAGAGGAGGTGAAGTCCCCCCAAGAGGAGGTGAAGTCCCCCCTAGAGGAGGTGAGGTCCCCCCTAGAGGAGGTGAGGTCCCCCCTAGAGGAGGTGAGGACCCCCCTAGAGGAGGTGAGGTCCCCCCTAGAGGAGGTGAGGACCCCCCTAGAGGAGGTGAGGACCCCCCTAGAGCAGGCGAGGCCCCAAAAGAGGAGGTGAGGTTCCCCCCTAGAGGAGGTGAGGACCCCCCTAGAGGAGGTGAGGACCCCCCTAGAGGAGGTGAGGTCCCCCCTAGAGGAGGTGAGGACCCCCCTAGAGGAGGTGAGGTCCCCCCTAGAGGAGGTGAGGACCCCCCTAGAGGAGGTGAGGACCCCCCTAGAGGAGGTGAGGTCCATCCCCAAATAAAGCAGGTTAAAATAATACAAAGTGCATGTAACATGTTCTTTTAGTAAACCCTGCAAAGGGGTCCCACAGACCCAAACAGACACAAAGGTTAAAGGTCAGCATATCATAATGTTAAAATGTGCTAAATACATACACTGCAAAAAACAAAAGAAAGAGTAAAAGTAGCCCTCACCCTAAAAAAGGTTGGTAACCCCTGTCTTACAGTGTCTGCACCTGACCTTGCTACATTTCTATTGCAAGCTAAAACTCTCATGAGCACAATAAGCATATAATGTAATAATAAGAATCACTCTAGTAATGTTATATAAAAATAGACTCCACAATTTCGCAAACATACAGTTCAAATAACTGAACATTAGCTTATAACGGTGTTCAAGTCTCACAACGCTTTCGCGGGTTTGCAACGGCCACAAAGCCCCGCATTTAGCTTAGCCACTATTAGCATAACCGCAACTAGCATAATCACCCTTAGCTTAGCTGCAATTAGCTTACACCATTTAGCGGCCAATACGCTTAATATTACAAACAGTAATCATATCACAACTGGTTTTTAACCATACTTGCCAACCTTGAGACCTCAGAAATCGAAAGCGTTGGCAAGTATTTAACATGTCAATGTTTCATAAACACATTCAAACACTTTAAGGAACATATTTCTAACGGTGGAGTAGCAAAAACAAGCTAACTGAATGCTAACTAAATGCTGACTCACCGGACAGTTGCTCATTTGGGAGGAATGGCGTCCCGAGTTTCTCCCGAAAGTTCTCCTTTTTCATCACAGATATTCTGCAGCTGTTCATTCTGTGGAGCACACTAGCTGTCCTCAGTGCATTTCAATTACAACTTTTACATTTAAAATAACTTTTCTTAATTCTTAACAACAGCCTGGAGGAGCTTAGCTGGCGGTGTCTGTCTCCCTGCTCGCTGTGAGGCGTTCAGGGAACCTCTGTACAATCTAGAACCAGTCAAATAACCCGGGATTATTGTATTTTTAGAGTAGAAACTAACAGGCGTTTCGAGAACTGAGAAATCCTCTCCTCTGAGCGTCACTTTAAAGAGTCCTCTCCTGCTGATGTTCAGGTGTATATCAGTATGTAGTGTCTATACTTTAAAGAGTCCTCTCCTGCTGATGTTCAGGTGTATATCAGTATGTAGTGTCTACTTTAAAGAGTCCTCTCCTGCTGATGTTCAGGTGTATATCAGTGTGTAGTGTATCTACTTTAAAGAGTCCTCTCCTGCTGATGTTCAGGTGTATATCAGTGTGTAGTGTATCTACTTTAAAGAGTCCTCTCCTGCTGATGTTCAGGTGTATATCAGTATGTAGTGTCTCTACTTTAAAGAGTCCTCTCCTGCTGATGTTCAGGTGTGTATCAGCATGTAGTGTCTCTACTTTAAAGAGTCCTCTCCTGCTGATGTTCAGGTGTGTATCAGTATGTAGTGTCTCTACTTTAAAGAGTCCTCTCCTGCTGATGATCAGGTGTGTATCAGCATGTAGTGTCTCTACTTTAAAGAGTCCTCTCCTGCTGATGTTCAGGTGTGTATCAGTATGTAGTGTCTCTACTTTAAAGAGTCCTCTCCTGCTGATGTTCAGGTGTGTATCAGTATGTAGTGTCTCTACTTTAAAGAGTGCTCTCCTGCTGATGTTCAGGTGTATATCAGTATGTAGTGTCTCTACTTTAAAGAGTCCTCTTCTGCTGATGTTCAGGTGTGTATCAGTATGTAGTGTCTCTACTTTAAAGAGTGCTCTCCTGCTGATGTTCAGGTGTGTATCAGTATGTAGTGTCTCTACTTTAAAGAGTCCTCTCCTGCTGATGTTCAGGTGTATATCAGTATGTAGTGTCTCTACTTTAAAGAGTCCTCTCCTGCTGATGTTCAGGTGTATATCAGTATGTAGTGTCTCTACTTTAAAGAGTCCTCTCCTGCTGATGTTCAGGTGTATATCAGTATGTAGTGTCTCTACTTTAAAGAGTCCTCTCCTGCTGATGTTCAGGTGTATATCAGTATGTAGTGTCTCTACTTTAAAGAGTCCTCTCCTGCTGATGTTCAGGTGTGTATCAGTATGTAGTGTCTCTACTTTAAAGAGTGCTCTCCTGCTGATGGACACATCATGCTGTATGAATGAAACTCTTCCACACAGTGTAATAATCTCCATTTATTAGAAACAGAAAGGCTTAGAAGATGAAAGCAGTACAGGAAGGTGCAGATGACACTGGAGACGTGTTGCATTTGCTCTGCCTGTGGATACTGGAATATCACAGACGATGCGTGGGTAGGGGGAACGCTCTGAAGAGTGAGGATCCACTTTCTGAGGGTCTCAAGGGGACAGACCTTTATTTCTCTCCCCTTTGAGTTCCAGACGGACATCAGGAAGGTAAAGCCTACACATCTCCACACAAAGGACACATAAGTAAGATGAAGCGAGGAAGAGTCCGATGAAGAGGCGCGTTATGAGGCCGAAGGCAACAGTGGCAAGCACACTAAAGCTAGTATTAATACATGGACAGAGAACAGAGATATATATATATTTATAAGGACTTTTTACAAACTGTCTCTACCCAGCTGTGTGACAGACATTCTCCTCAGCAGGTCATTTCATTCACCTTCACCAGGTATTATTTAACTGATGGAAGAGAAAGAGTCAGAGGCTGCTATGAGATGTGAGGAAGCAGAGAGTCATGAAGGTGCATTAGGGCCGAGGGGGAATCAATCAATATGAGACGGAGTCAGAGGAGGGGTGACGTTCAGTTACAGAGAGCAAGGGTTTGGAAATATAACTCAAAGGTTTTGACGACGAAAAACTCATAAATCCCAAAATAAGAATAAGAATTTTTTTTCCCCGTAAATTTGATTTTTGTTCCCTTTTGAATAATAACTTAAGATTTACAAGAAAAACGTCAGAAAAATTATCTGAAATTTAAAGGAAACATTTTAATATTCCTGATTGTTTTTTCCGTCAAATTTGTAATTTATACGAGAAAAAAGAAATATACAATATTTAAGATTTTTTCTCATGAATTTTGGAATATATAATCTCAAAGAAATGTAGAATATTTTTGCCATTTCTGAATTCTTTGATATAACCCCCCCCCCCCCACACACACACACACACACACACCATATGTATTAACACAGCAGAGACAAACTGATCTGAACCGTTAAAGACTTCCTGCTCTGGAAAAAAAGGAACCACTGAATATTCAGGAAACCTCTCAAAGGTCTTCAGAGCAGTTTACACATCCTACTGTACGTGTGTGTGTGTGCATAGATATACATACACACACACACACACACACACACCCTCAAGCCATTTGTGTTGGGGGAATCTCAATCTGCTGTAGGAGAGGAGGAATGGGAAAAGGCTCTCCAACATCAGGAGTAAGTGTTTGTCCTTTTAGCTGCAGTGCTATTTATTCTTCCAGATATTCCAGGTGTGTGTTATTACAGAAATGTGGGCCTTGTCTGATACGACACCTGATGAATACAGTAACACAGTCTGGAGCAACACGTGTGATACAGAGGAATACATATCACTACAGCTAACAGGAACATTACTGTAGGTTTCTGGAGGATCCGTGTGTTTACAGTTCTCTAACTTCCAGACCCAAACACAGAGGCCTCAGGTCTGAGAGGAAGCAGAGAGACCTGACGGAGGAGCTCCAGAGGTCGGCCAGGGGTCAAGGTGTTCAGAAGGAGATGTTTGATCAAAGGAAACCATGACGGAGGTTTTTAAGTTAGTGTGAGATGTTTGATGACAGCGGAGCACCACACACACTCCGTGTGTCTTCACACACACACACAGTGTGTCCTCACACATAGTCTCTCTGCAGGAGGACAGACTCTCCTCCTCCTCTAACAGTTAGTGTCCAGCTGGAGCCCCCCCCCCCTCTCTATGAGCTCTCCAGAGCGTCCAGCACCTTCATGATCTGCTGCTTGATCACCTTCGTGGCGTCGCCGGCGTTCGGTATTACATATCTGAGAGGAGAGAACAGATGACCACATGAATAAAGAGTCCACACACACACACACACACACACACACACACACACACACACACACACACACACACACACACACACACACACACACACACACACACACACACACACACACACACACACACACACACACACACACACACACACACACACACACACACACACACACACACACACACACACACACACACACACACACACACACACACACACACACACACACACACACACACACACACACACACACACACACACACACACACACACACACACACACACACACACACACACACACACACACACACACACACACACACACACACACACACACCTCTCCACGGCAGAGATCTCCACTCCCGCTGAGTTGTTGCTGCCGAACTTGAAGGTGATGAGTTCAGGGTGCTTCTTTTTGGACGTGATCTTCACCACTGAGTTCAGAGCCTGTCGGGACTGGATGTAGGAGAACCCTTTCCTGGAGGCGATCTCCCGCAGGCAGTACATGTGGGAGGCGGTGACCAGCAGGTGGCTGCAGGACACAGGAAACAGCTGTTACTGACTACTCTGATGCTCCTCCACTGCTCAAGGTCCCCTGTTATCCTCCTCTTCATCAGTATATCACAGGTCTCAGATATATCCAGAGCCTGTCTCTGATTGGCTGAAACACCAAACAGATCATTGCAGCATTACCCACAATCCCCTCTGTTTCAGCCCTGTTTCCAAAGTGCTGATTCTCTGTCTGTTACTTTAGATCAGTGTTTCTCAAACGTTGTCATACCAAGGACAACCAATAAACAAACACTCACGGACCCCCTGACTCCACAAATATCCGGAAACATAGGCCTGCTCACCACTCCAACAGTACAGCCTAATAATGACAGCTTAGCCTTCTCTACATCGCCTCGTTCACACATTAAATCAACAATACAGATTATATCAGCATTTAGTTCAAATGCGATTTTTAAATGCTCAGGTTTTACACCTCTTATGAAATGTAGACTACATTTATTACAGATCGTTGGCTACTGAGAGATATGCAAAATACACCGCATGTAGTACGACTAGGGTTGGGAACCGAAACTCGGTTCCAGATGAGAACCGATAAGAAAATGCTGGGTACCCGTACAAAATACACCATTTTGGTTCTGCTTAACGGTTCCTAAACGCGGTAGACCCTGCGTTCCACCGGGTCCGTCTGCCCCGCGGCGACCCGGTGGAACGCAGGGCGGACTGGCCATCTGTGTGTTCTGGAGATTCACAGAACGGCCCGCTGACGGCCGGAGCCGCCCTTCATTTTGAAACACCTTGAAACAAGCCTCTGATCATCAACAGACTTCATGCAATGCTTCATTGGATGGAGTCTCATCTCTATCCAACTCCTAACATCTAAATCTACTTTCAGCGTGGACACATGTTCATCAAAGACATCCATTGTTTGTTTTATACGCTTCTTGAAATCCTAAAAAACACAGTTTTTCTAGAACAGATCACAAATCGCCTGAAAATGGTACAAACAAGTGGCAACACGTGAGGAAGGTGTTGCTCTATCGTGAAACTGAAACTCCGTCCTTTGCGGAGATATTCCTGCGAGAGTGCGGACCACACTTTGAGAAGCACTGCTTTAGACGGACCAGGACCATCTGGGGGACACGTCATCTCACCCGGGGGGGACACGTCGTCGTCTCACCCGGGGGACACGTCGTCGTCTCACCCGGGCGACACGTCGTCGTCTCACCCGGGGGACACGTCGTCGTCTCACCCGGGGGACACGTCGTCAACCGGGGGACACGTCGTCGTCTCACCCGGGGGACACGTCGTCATCTCACCCGGGGGACACGTCGTCGTCTCACCCGGGGGACACGTCGTCGTCTCACCCGGGGGACACGTCGTCCTCTCACCCGGGGGACACGTCGTCCTCTCACCCGGGGGACACGTCGTCGTCTCACCCGGGGGACACGTCGTCGTCTCACCCGGGGGACACGTCGTCGTCTCACCCGGGGGACACGTCGTCGTCTCACCCGGGGGACACGTCGTCGTCTCACCCGGGGGACACGTCGTCCTCTCACCCGGGGGACACGTCGTCGTCTCACCCGGGGGACACGTCGTCGTCTCACCCGGGGGACACGTCGTCCTCTCACCCGGGCGACACGTCGTCGTCTCACCCGGGGGGGACACGTCGTCGTCGTCACCCGGGGGGGACACGTCGTCGTCTCACCCGGGGGACACGTCGTCGTCTCACCCGGGGGACACGTCGTCGTCTCACCCGGGGGACACGTCGTCGTCTCACCCGGGGGACACGTCGGCGTCTCACCCGGGCGACACGTCGTCGCCTCACCCGGGCGACACGTCGTCGTCTCACCCGGGGGACACGTCGTCGTCTCACCCGGGGGGGACACGTCGTCGTCTCACCCGGGGACACGTCGTCGTCTCACCCGGGGGACACGTCGTCGTCTCACCCGGGCGACACGTCGTCGTCTCACCCGGGCGACACGTCGTCGTCTCACCCGGGGGACACGTCGTCCTCTCACCCGGGGGACACGTCGTCCTCTCACCCGGGGGACACGTCGTCGTCTCAACCCGGGCGACACGTCGTCGTCTCACCCGGGCGACACGTCGTCGTCTCACCCGGGGACACGTCGTCGTCTCACCCGGGGGACACGTCGTCCTCTCACCCGGGGGACACGTCGTCGTCTCACCCGGGGGACACGTCGTCGTCTCACCCGGGGGACACGTCGTCGTCTCACCCGGGGGACACGTCGTCGTCTCACCCGGGGGACACGTCGTCGTCTCAACCCGGGGGACACGTCGTCCTCTCACCCGGGGGACACGTCGTCGTCACCCGGGGGGGACACGTCGTCGTCTCACCCGGGGGACACGTCGTCGTCTCACCCGGGGGACACGTCGTCGTCTCACCCGGGGGACACGTCGTCGTCTCACCCGGGCGACACGTCGTCGTCTCACCCGGGGGACACGTCGTCGTCTCACCCGGGGGACACGTTGTCCTCTCACCCGGGGGACACGTCGTCGTCCCTCACCCGGGGGGACCAACGTCGTCGTCTCACCCGGGCGACACGTCGTCGTCTCACCCGGGGGACACGTCGTCGTCTCACCCGGGGGACACGTCGTCGTCTCACCCGGGGGGGACACGTCGTCGTCTCACCCGGGGGACAACGTCGTCGTCTCACCCGGGCGACACGTCGTCGTCTCACCCGGAGCGACACGTTGTCCTCTCACCCGGGGGACACGTCGTCCTCTCACCCGGGGGACACGTCGTCGTCTCACCCGGGGGACACGTTGTCCTCTCACCCGGGGGACACGTTGTCTCACCTGGGGAACATGTGTCCGGTCTCCTTCACCTCGCTGCAGGGGATGTGGTGCTTCACGTCCGGTTTGTTGATCCACGTCTGGATGTTCACGATCTCCTTCCTGTCGTCGTCGGACATCGACGAGCTGTCGATCTCATCTGAAATGAGGTCAGAGGCTCAGGAGGTTTTTCAAAGGACAGAATGCCAAGAGATGGTGAGATTCCTGTACCTGTGTCGTACTCCTCTTCATCCCCGATGCTGAAGACGGGCTTCACTCCTCGGTACGGTTTACCCACCCGGTCACTGCTGCTCACATGTCTGAGGACAGAAACACCGGGAGTGAACAACACCACACACACACACACACACACACACACACACACACACACACACACACACACACACACACACACACACACACACACACACACACACACACACACACACACACACACACACACACACACACACACACACACACACACACACACACACACACACACACACACACACACACACACACACACACACACACACACACACACACACACACACACACACACACACACACACACACACACACACACACACACACACACACACACACACCACACACACACACACACACACACACACACACACACACACACACACACACACACACACACACACACACACACACACACACACACACACACACACACACACACACACACACACACACACACACGTCCTGAGAGAGCGAGACATTAATACCGAGGTTGGTCAGGGAGTGATAGTCAGGGTCGTCAGCAGGTGTTTTTATATCACGGTGACTCTGATCGGCCCTGACTATCACCTGAAGAACAATGAGATGGAAACACAGACTTCAGGATGTTCCCACATGGACACTTCTCCTCTGTGTCCAATTGACCCTGGACGAGTTCTTCGTCTCAACTGGTCCAGTATCTAGTTCTTTGGTCGAGCGTCCACCGACTGGCCGACACAGAGCCGATCAGCACACAATACTTTCACTTTTAGTGGATGGAGGATTACATTTCAGCATTGTTTAGCGTCTGCCACTCTCCCTTCATGCTGGACCACTTTTATAAAGAGATCCCACTCTCCCTTCATGCTGGACCACTTTTATAAAGAGATTCCACTCTCCCTTCATGCTGGACCACTTTTATAAAGAGATTCCACTCTCCCTTCATGCTGGACCACTTTTATAAAGAGATCCCACTCTCCCTTCATGCTGGACCACTTTTATAAAGAGATTCCACTCTCCCTTCATGCTGGACCACTTTTATAAAGGGATTCCACTCTCCCTTCATGCTGGACCACTTTTATAAAGAGATCCCACTCTCCCTTCATGCTGGACCACTTTTATAAAGGGATTCCACTCTCCCTTCATGCTGGACCACTTTTATAAAGGGATTCCACTCTCCCTTCATGCTGGACCACTTTTATAAAGAGATCCCACTCTCCCTTCATGCTGGACCACTTTTATAAAGGGATTCCACTCTCCCTTCATGCTGGACCACTTTTATAAAGAGATCCCACTCTCCCTTCATGCTGGACCACTTTTATAAAGAGATTCCACTCTCCCTTCATGCTGGACCACTTTTATAAAGAGATTCCACTCTCCCTTCATGCTGGACCACTTTTATAAAGAGATCCCACTCTCCCTTCATGCTGGACCACTTTTATAAAGAGATCCCACTCTCCCTTCATGCTGGACCACTTT